AGCAACGCGTTAAAGTTGGCATGTGATTGGACCACTACAAACACGGTGGGCCTTGAATAAGTACCCACTTTCACATCTAAGGCAATCATGCCTTCTGAGCTTGATGATTCCCCACTGAAATCAGAAATCATGATATTATGTCTGACCAAATCTTTCAATTCGATACCAAACCTCTTCAGCATAGTGATTGGCAATATGTTTACCGCTGCACCACCGTCAACAAGGACTTTATCCACCTTCTGTCCCTGAATTTCGATGTTCAGTAATAAGGGTTTCAAATGAAACCTCATCTCCTCGGATGGAGGATCGATAAAAGCAACATCTCTATGGGGTACCTCGCATGATGCTTGTGTTACCCATGTGACTTTCGGTCTCATGTCTTCGGAATAGAAATCGTCCTCTCGATCGACATCACTTTGTCCTTGATACTCCTCATACTCGTTAACATATCCCGTGGGTAGTATCGATATTACTCCAATTTGATGTCCATCCCAGCTACCTTCATTTTTGTCATTGACAAAGTCTCTTACATACTGACCCCAAATTGACATATTACTTTCTTCAAAGTTCCTATAATTATTGATCCTTCCCCAGTAAGGGATCCTTCCTCCTCTCCTCCAAGGCCTTCCTCGAAATCTCCTTTGGAATGTAGGGAATCCAGTATTTAATCATTCATCATATAAAAGTCTGTCGAAAACATCATTATTTTGAAGTCTGCCCCTTCCTTCCTGAGGAAAACACATTTCCTTCATAACCCATTGTTTCTGATTTCTACTAGCGCCAGAACCAACAGATTTCTGCTGACTCTCTCCTACCGTGGTTTGGACGGTTTGATCTACTTTATCATTACAACTTTTATGTTGATCCTCTCTTTTCTTTATCTGTCCTGCTCTAGCAGCTGATCTATCAAACACCGCACTGCATTGTGGACATAGTGTCACACCTTCGTCCTTCTCTTTCTTCCTGTTTAGAAACTCGACGAGGGAATCTTCTGATCGAGGATAGATTTCTCTTTCCAATTCTTTCTCGAACTCGCTTTGGTCAAACTCTATGTCTTCTTCTGACATGTCCATTCTGACATGTCTAGGATCAATGTCTTCAGTAACATCGACCATACCTATAAAGGTCGAATTTATCAATCGGACATCTTTAGTCATGCCCGTCTGGGATTCGACATACCCTACTTGAACTTCAAATGGACTCGTATCCACTTTCATTGATATCTCTTCAAACTTCAATCTTCCTTGGTCGATCGTATCTTGGATCGTGTTCCTGAAATGTATACAATTATTAGTCCAGTGTCCATAGATATTATGAAATTTGTAATATTTTCGACCATTTCTTTGTTCTGTAGAAGGTAATTTATGATCATCACTCAACTTAATCTGTTTATCTTTCAATAAAATATCGAAGATTTTATCTGCCTTTGTTACATCAAAAGTATATGTGCGATTTGCCATTTTGTCTTTCACTTCATTTTTCTGTAGCAGTTTACAAATATATGGAGCTCCTACTTTGAGCTCTGCTACATTTACTTTCTCATCGACAGATTCTTTAATATCTCCTTCTATTTTGGGATTTTCCTCATATATGTCATTTATATACGCTACCCTATCTTTCTTCATAGGCTTCTCAAATTTCTTGTACCTTTGTTTCTCGTATTCGATTTGTTCCACTCTTCTCACTTTATCAGCTAGCTGAGCCATGTCATTCAATGGTAAATTAACTAACTTTTTCCTAATCGAGAATTCTAAACCTGCAGAGATCATTCTGACTAACTCAAATTCGGGAATTTGAGTAAAACATCTTGACTTCATTTGTCTAAATCTATTCAAATAATCATCTACACTTTCATGATTATATCTCTTTATATTCATCAAATCGATAAGACTTACTTGAGTTTCCCCCCTAAAGAATTGCTCATGAAAATTTCTTTCCAGCTGCAACCAATTATATATTGAATTAGGTGGCAACAACGTAAACCAAGTGAAAGCATTCTTTGTTAATGAACTAGGAAAATATTTCATTTTTAATTCCTCACTCATCGCTAGGTCTCCACATTCGATTTGATATCGCGCCACATGCTCGATAGTGGATTCACTGATTTCTCCAACAAATTTGGTGAATTTGGGTATTTTGTATCCTCGAGGTAATTCTGTCTCGAGAATTGTATTTGGAAAAGGAAAAACAAAGTACGGTTGATTAGGTGATCTTAATTCCACTCCTTGAGGATTCATCCTTTGTCCCAACATGTGATTGTACTGTATATTATTTTGATTATACATATTTTGAAATCCCTCATTTAAATTTCCATAAGCATCATTCTTCACATGCTGATATTGATCATTATTTCGATTTCTCCTTAATAGATAGAGGGGATTGATATTAGCATTTTTGTTAATATTCTGATTGACATTATTTTTGACCCTTGCTTGTCGAGGTATTGCCAATGCATCCCCGATACGCGTCATTTGGTATGCTAATATCTCAAAACTAGTGGTAGTGTTTTGAACTAATGGGTTTAGTACTGTGGTCAACTGTTGTGATAACATGTTAACCATCTCGAAATTGCTCTCATCCATTTGTTGTCGAAGTACTCCTAATGAATTACTGGAAATTCCAGTACTAGCGTTTTCGATAGTCTCAAAATTGGATCGATGATAATCTCTATCGAATGTATATCTCTCGTGATCCAGGTTTGCTTTGTGATCTAGGTTTGATATTGGAGGCGTCTGTTGTGTTCCTAAATTCTGCGCATTCCCTGAATTCTGGGGTGTTACTAAATTTTGAGACACCCCTAAATTTGGGGATACTCCAAAATTTTGAGGCATGCCTAAGGTTTGAAATGTTCCTAAGTTTTGGGGCATTCCTAGGTTAAATCTCGTACTTCGTTGTATTGAAGAAGTACCAGCCCCATTCATATTATTAATCGAAAAACCAGGCGGCCTTACACTCATATGCGGACCTGCATATGTTGTTACGGGGTTCCCCGTAGTTTGTATATTGTTTGACATCATAGTACTAGACCCTAACTGAGTGTTTACTAATGTGCCTGAGCTTTGTTCAGTACTCACAAGTATCGACGTACTCACAGTTGTCGACATTACGGACATATTCCCATTGTGAACTTGCCCCCCAGTGTTTGGTGAATGTGAACTATTTAGAATCTCACTGTTATTCTGATTATGTGGTGGATTTTGACTCATTCTTATTACTCGCCCACTCATTAATCTCATACACTTTCGAACTAGCCAATTGTTTGTGTTTTTCGACACAACCGTCCCTACCTGGCGCGCCAATTTGTTTCTGGTGAAAATTTGATCGATTTCGATTTCTCAAAGATTTAGGTTCTAACCAAATTTCAACCACGTAGATTCTTTTTATTTAGGCTAGCAAACGGTTTTCAATTGAAAAATGCATGAGAATCGAAAATCTCATGGTCTCGAAAAATGCAAACAACACTATCTAGTGTGCAGCTTGACAGTCAAAAGCACTATTTTTTGTATTTTGTGTTAAAAAACTCAAAGTAAAGAAAACTATAAAAAGTATCGAATCGAAAAAAGCATTATAGCACATTAAATTGCAATTAAATATAAATACAGAACCTCAAATTTGTATCAAGTATAAATGACAAAGAATCGAAATTGCATAACTGTAAATGACAGGAAATCAAAATTACAGAAGTGTAAATGACGAAGAACTTAAAAATAGAATCTTAACTTGCATTAAGGTAAATGACGAGGAATTGAAATGATAAGAACTTAAAGTTGATAAACGTATATTGCAGGAAAGTAAATTACCAGGGAAAGTAAAGAAAGCGATAAAGACAATCAATGAAAATGGAAATCCAGAGCATTAGAAACTTCATGATGCGTCGTTTTCCCATAGACTGTTCACTTGCGCCTCTATTGTCCCTGCCAATTTCCCTCTTCTTCCTCCAGCTTCGTTCTATTTATAGACATCCTTCAATATAACCTCCCAAGAGCAGTTTAGAAAACTGTCACCACGTTCCAAGTGCACGATCCTCGATTTTTTACTTTAGTTTACGGTTTAGAAAACCGCTTCCACGTTCCATGTGCATTATAACCGTTTCTCGATTTTTAACCTTAGCCGCGATGTGAAAAGCCACTCTTCATGTTCCGTATGTAAGATAACTGTTTCCCTCGATCTCAATTCCAGTTATCGAGTACAATTTTCCCTTAACCTTGACTTTACACTATACTTTATCACTACTTTCATCGATTTGTTTCTCTCTTTTCTGATTCTCGATTTACATGTTCATATTATCTCGTGGTTACCGGGTGTCTTTCAATTATCTTTTCGATTTATCAACTTTTTAAACAATCATATAATCGACTTTTCTCTCTTCCGTTTTTTCATCCTCGCATCGGTTTTTTACTAACAGAAATACTTTAAAGTTTGTTTCCATAGGGTGATGAGTTAATAAAGTATTTCAATTACTTTAATACACCTTTTTGAGAAAAATGGTGGTGATGCTGAAATTGAATAAAGATTATGTGTGGTTGCCACAGGTTTCTACTTCATCTTGGTTGAAGGATTTTCACTCTATGGTTTCGGGAAGGGAGTTTTAAGAGATAGAAAGGTTGGAGATAAATGTAATTTTTTATTTAATTTTAAAAATTAAATCACTAAAAAATATAGTTGTATTGTTAGATTTTTTGAAATATTATATACTGACTAATTCCTTAAAAAATATATATATTTATACAAGTTGAAACATCCATTCATTATAAACACACTAACCTTAATCTTAAAGTGCATTATAAAAACAATTTACATCTATATGATACTAAATATTTATTAAAGATTTTTTGTTAGAATAATAAGTTAGTAAAATATTTAAAATATAATGAGAGTTGGGTAAGAAGTTGTTTTAGCCTCTGGAGAAATTGGTGTACCTTGTTGGTCTTGGTCCGTTCGCAAGTAAACACACGCACAGCACACCGCAACAGCTCTCGAAGTGGATCCGATCCGATCCGATGGAAGAGTACCCGGAAGAGTTGCGTACTCCGCCGGTGACGTTGGCGTCCCTGGTGGGGTGCCCGGAGCTTCATAGTCTCATCTCCACCCACTTCATGTCGGCGCAGCCTCCCATCAACACGCTTGCCCTCCCCGACGTCTCCAAAATCATCTACCTCTTCAACAACAAAACGGACTCCGATCCAACTCCCACCGCACCGTCGCCCCTCGTTCCCGGCATCTTCAAACGCGATTGGCTCCTCAAACACCGCACCAAACTCCCCGCCATCCTCGCCGCTCTCTTCCCCTCCCACCACCTCACCGGTGACCCCGCTCAGTGGCAACAACTCTGCTCCGATCTAGATTCCATCAAGTACTCTCCCTCTCTCTCACTCACTTTCTTTATTCATTTATTAATAATAGTCGCTTTATTTTTCTGGTTTAAACTTTTCAGGGCTGTGATTCGCGGGAGGAACATCAAGTTTGCGGTGGTTGTCGTTGTGAATGACAATGTGGATGAGATTAGCGAAGATAGAATGATTGCCTTGCGGAAGCGAGCGGAGGTAGATGCCAAATATGTTATCGTTTTGAACCCTAATGACGCTGCCAATCTTAAACTCTCTCTTCACAGGCATGTGCAGTGCACCATCTCTTACTTCTTTTTCGGGGAATTGTGTCGATTCTCTCTCTTGACGATGTCGTTTTTGAGTGCAGGATGGCGAGTACATTTTCCGAATTGGCCGTCGCGTATTATAGAGAAGAAGGGAGAAGGGTTAAGCAGCGGATAGAGAAGAAAAATGTTAACTCGGTTGAGTTGATTGTTCGCTACTGCTTCAAAGTAAGAATAATTTTTTTCCTCTCTTCGGGTTTTTTTTTTTTTTTTTTTTTTTTTTTGGTTTTAGAAGTAACCAAGGTTTTAGACCATGGTCTGCCACCGAACGTCCAGGTTTTTTTTCTGAGGGCGGGGGGTGGGGAGTGATTTTGATTTCATCACAACACAACTGCATTGTGCCCACATTTGTCTGCAATATGGAAGAGTGCGATGAGCTTGTGACTGTTAGGTCAATTTAAAAACCTTGGATGTAATTGCTTTTATGTAAAAAAAAGAAGAAGGTAGAAACGGAAACTGGAATTACATTATTTTTTCTTTTCTTTGACTTTCTTGTCTGGGAATTTGTGAGTTTGTGTTGTGTTTTTTTCTAAATAAAAATTGTGCATTATTTATCTATATGCCATGAATTGCTAGGTTGCTGTATATGCAGAATTCCGAAGTGACTGGCCTGAAGCATTGAAATTTTATGAGGAGGCCTATCATACGCTGCGAGAGGTGCGTGGACTTTTTAAATGTTTTTTTTTTTTTTTCACCATTCATGAATCATGATATATACCCTAGATTGAAAATGCTATCATTGGTGTTGTATGCCTCCCTACATCTATTGATTGAACTAATAAAAGAAAACTTATCATTATCCCTAATGTTTTGCTCTCATAAATCAGAGCCTTGTAAGTAGCAATTTTTCACATCTTCCAAGTGCATCAGTTGCTACTACTCTATAGTTGTCCATATGTTTAACAGATTCAATTCTAATTATTTTTTCTTTAATTTGTCTAGGACCCAATCTTATATTTGGACAAAGTTGCATGTGCTCTATCTTTTTCATGTTTATATGGTCACCAGATATGTAATCACAAAGCCAAGTTTTGTAACATGTGTTTTCTGTTTGTATTACACTTCAGATTGTTGGGGTGACAACAAGGTTGCCAGCAGTACAACGCTTAGTTGAGATAAAAACTATAGCTGAACAATTGCATTTCAAAATATCAACTTTGTTACTGCACAGTGGGAAGGTTACAGAAGCAGTGGCATGGTTTCGCCAGCACAAGAATGCATATAAAAGGCTTGTTGGTGCACCAGAAGGAACATTTCTTCACTGGGAATGGATGAGTAGGCAGTTTTTGGTATTTGGTGAATTGTTGGAGACAAGTTCGAAAACAACTCAAGGCTTTGCACCTATTATCCTAAGCACTTCATCCAAACCTCTGTGTGAGTGGGAATATTATCCTGCCTATTACTACCAAGTGAGTGCCTTTCTTTAACTATCTTGTATGATGACAGAGAAAGGGAAATATGTTTGCTCTATACCCTTATAAGGAAACATTCTTCTGTCATATTTCTGATCAATGTAAGACATTAACCTGCCCCTCATGCCCAAGATCGACTACCAGAACATGAAATTTGTAGGAATGAATATTTGCAGGTACTCCAACATTAATACTGGATAAACTTTGATATCATACTAGAAATAGATTGGGCCCAACTTGGCTCCAAAAGCTAGCTCAAGGAAGGAGAAATCTTATTTGAACTATTTTGGTCTTATTCTTAGTGTGAAACATCTTAACAATTATTTTGGTATTATTCTTAGTGTGAAACATCTTAACAATTATTTTGGTCTCTCTAGTAAGTGAAATATCTTTATATTTTATTCATTTTTCTTTTAACTGCCTTTGTTTCTTCTGCCTACATGGCAAATTCCCTTAAGTGTGTTTTGTATATCATCTTAGTACGAGCTACATCCTACTTTCTCTTGATTCATCTCCTCTCCACTACGGCAGTCTTACCTTTGCTGCACTTATTTGTCATTTATATCTACTCTTGAACACCAGTCCTTTTTCCTCAATGTTTTGTAGGTTTTAATTGTTGTACCTGACTTTTTAATTTGCACTGGTTCCATCGTAGGAAAGTAACTGCCAAGCCATGTGTTCAAACATTTATTTAGTTACCTTGTTTACTCGTACTGGTTGGATTTTTTATTCTCATATGATAATAAGCGCAAGCTGTGACTTGGAGGTCACAGGTTCAAATCTAGGAAACAGCTATTCTGTTTGTTGTGGTAAGTGGATGATAATTATTCTTATTTTAACTCTGCCTTTCCTATCCCTTTCTTTTATTTTCCTTTCCCTCCCTGGTCCACAATCTTCAATATTTATCTTTTTTTTTTCCTTAACATATTTGGGGAATTTATGGCTTATTCACACTTACCAACCTTCAAATCAGTAGTTTGGTACCCTTCATAACTTTAACTCTGCTGTGAGTGTCTTTTCCTCCACTGGTAACCCATGTTCTTTCACATATTTACGTGTTTGCAATATGTTTATGTTTGTTTTACGAGAATCTAATGATTTATCTTAATCTGTTTGTGCATGCAAAGTTGTTTTGTGAATCAGTGTACATGTTTCTTTTGTAAACTTTCCTGGGTAATTGTGTTCATCTCCATGAAACAGTTAGCTGCTCATTACTTGAGTGAGAAGAGATCAGTACTGGAACTTGCAATCTCAATGTCAGAAACTAACAATGAGATTGATAGTGTTGTTGATTCTGTTGTTCCTTCAGTGTATGTGGGTCAATTTGCCCGGTTACTGGAGCAAGGAGATAATGTTGATATGCTACCGTAAGTCTTAATTGAGTGGTAAATAATTTCATATTTTCATATCTTTCATATTTTAAACTATTGTTTTCATTTGGATTTAATTTACAGTCTCACTGATGAAGAATACATATGCTATGCTGTTTCCGAAGGAAAAAGGTTTCGAGATTCACTTGAAATTATAGCTCTTCTTAAAAAAGCTTATGAATCCTACAGCAGTATTAAAATTATGAGGATGAGCTCGTTTTGTGGGTTCCAGATGGCCAAAGAATATTTTGCTGAAGGTGACATTGGTAATGCAAAACAGATTCTTGATACTATAGCAAGCCTATACAGAAAAGAGGGATGGGTAACTTTATTATGGGATGTCTTGGGTTACTTGCGAGAATGCTCTAGGAAAGTTGGTGCTATTAAAGATTTTGTGGAGTATTCCCTTGAAATGGCTGCTCTGCCAATATCATCTGATACTGGTGTCAGGCGAGACATTGGTCTAGCTGGTCCTGCAAATCTACTGCAAAGAGAAATTGTACACAATGAGGTTTTTGAGCTTGTCAACGGAGATTCAGGATTGGCAACAAATGAACGCATCAATAATCTCAAGATCACAGAAGGTGAGTCACTTCAGCTTGAGGTGGATCTTGTCAGTCCTCTTAGGTTGGTGATGCTGGCATCAGTTTCTTTTCATGAACAAACAGTCAAGCCTGGGGCATCAACTTTGATAACAATATCACTTCTTTCACGCCTACCGCTTACTGTTGATATTGATGGATTAGAAATCCAATTCAACCAATCAAATTGCAATTTCTTGATTACAAATGGCCAAAAATCTCAATTAGTAGAAGTAAGTGATGGTATTCAACAGCATCGAACGGAGATTGCACCATCTCTATCACTTCAATCAAACAAATGGCTAAGGTTGACCTATGACGTCCAAACTGGTAAGTCAGATGCTCTTGGTGAAGTTTAGTTTCCCATTCAGCTGTCAAGTTCAGTGCACCTTAAATTGTTTCTATAAGCAAATAACCTAGGCATGGTACATTTAAAATATTCTATTTATCTTATACCCCGGCCCTGGTAGCGGTATCTTGTGATCTTTAATTCCTTAACACTGGGGTGATTTTTAATATATAAATCTTGCAAAAAGTTGCTATATGTCTTTCAAAGTTGGTATGGATTTATCAGAGTACGCTTTCAACAAGATCTGTCCATTCATCCTTGGTTCTATAGTAGTAAGTAGTGTAGTGTTGGTTTATGCCTCACTTATTTAATTTTCACCTTGGTACATAACATATCTATTACCATCAGAAGTATTGCTTTCAATGTAGCCATTTTATGTTGATTGTGATATGGGTTCATTATATGATTTCCAGATAAAAGTGGAAAACTTGAATGCTTATCTGTTATTGCGAAAATTGGATCACACTTGTCAATCTGCTGCAGAGCTGAAAGCCCTGCTTCACTGGATAGTTTACCGCTTTGGACATTGGGGGATTTTGTACAAACTGTTCCAATAAAAGATCCAATTCTTGTGTTATCTGGTCAAAAGTCCACCCAAGTTGAAGAACCGGACCCACTGGTAGATCTGCATCTTGGTGCCTCAGGTCCTGCATTGGTGGGAGAAGTTTTTTTGGTACCAGTAACATTGGTTTCCAAAGGACATGATGTCTACTCAGGTGAATTGAAGATCAATCTCGTGGATGTGAAGGGAGGTGGCTTGTTTAGTCCAAGGGACAATGAGCCACATGCCATGGACAGTCATCATGTTCAGCTGCTTGGTATATCTGGACCAGAAGGAGAAGATGATTCTCAATTAGATTCTGACAAAATAAAGAAAATACAGCAATCATTTGGATTAATTTCTGTTCCCATTATTAAAAATGGAGATTCCTGGTCATGCAAATTAGAAATCAAGTGGCACCGACCTAAACCTATAATGTTATATGTGTCTTTGGGTTATAGTCCTTACAGTGATGAATTAAATACACAGACAGTCCATGTTCACAAGAATTTGCAAATTGAGGGGCACAATGCTATTGTTCTTTACCATCAGTATTTGATGCCATTCAGACAAGACCCATTGTTACTCTCCAAGAACAAGAAAGCCTCGGAATCTGATCATTCAGAATCACTGCCCTTGAATCAAAAGAATGTTCTTGTTGTTAGTGCAAAAAACTGCACTGAGTTGCCGTTAAGGTTAAAGTCCATGTCCATAGAAGTAGAGGATAATGCTGAAAGGACGTGCTCTATTCAACATGGAAGTGAGGAGCTTGCAAATCCCGCACTTCTTGTTCCCGGGGAAGAGTTCAAGAAGGTTTTCTCAGTCAGTTCCAATAAGAACAAGTCCAAGCTCAGTCTAGGAACTGTGTGTCTGAGATGGAGGAGAGACCTTGGGGTTGAAGAGCAATGTGCTACTACTTCAACATTATCTTGGGTTGTGACTAAACAAAAGCTGCCAAATGTGAACTTGGAGTTACCTCCATTGATTGTTAGTTTTGAATGCCCCCCGTATGCCGTCGTGGGAGATCCCTTTACGTATTATATTAGAATTTCGAACCAAACACAATTACTGCAAGAAATCAAATACTCACTTGGGGACGCGCAGAGTTTTGTATTATCCGGGTATCACAATGACACTATATATGTTCTTCCAAAATCTGAGCATATTCTCAGTTACAAACTTGTCCCACTTGTCTCGGGCATGCAACAGTTACCTAAATTTTCCATGACTTCAGTAAGATACTCAGCAGCATACCAGCCTTCAAATTCTTCAAATTCTGTTTTTATTTTCCCTTCCAAGCCTCATTTCAAGGCTACAGTCTCAACTAACTCTAGGGTGGAGTCAGTTGTTAATCTATAGATCCTTGTAAACCGTCAATTTTAATTCAATTGTTTCCCTTTCTTGTAACCCCCCGTTCCCCTACTTGGGGGGTGGGGGTGAACTACATATTTTACATGGAAAAGCTGCCTGCATTGGTCTGTTTTAGTTTCCTTTTTACTGTTAGGATAACATATCTTCTTCATTATCTGAACACTGCAGCAATATACTTTAGATTGTGTAATATTCTTATCGATTTTGCATTAAAGGTTTTCATCTTGGCTTATTGTAAAGCACTGCAAATGTTTACCCTAAATATAGGTAGTGAGGAAGAATGGAACCTGTTCACATATGTTTAATGTTTATACGTTATGAATATTTCAAGGCAGACTGTGGTGACACTCCTGGTTTTGGTGTTTCCGTTTTCTTTCCACCCTTTGATGTAGGCACCATCACAAAAAGATCACATACTGCATTCACCCTTTGTGTGTTTTTACTATGTTTAGACCAAACATGTAAGATTACATTTGTTGAGATGCAGCCACTTCCATATATTCCTACCACCAAGTAAGGAGTTGATGTGAAAAAAGTGGAATGAGTATACTTTATACTGGCCTATATTTTGGACGGGTAAGTCCATGTATGAGGTGCCTCATGGCAATGTGTGATTGGTTGTACTTGAAGCATGAAAACTTGCATTCTAGTTTAGCATCGTAAAGGTTTACCATATTGCATGAATATCTTTCAACGTGGACATAAAAGTGGCACGTGATAACAGTAAAAGCTGATTTTTTAACAGAAATATTACAGGGCATCCCATGCCTTCCATGTCGGTGTATCTCGTCCAGGTTTAATCGATTAAAAGCACTCGTCCACCAAATCCAAAAATTACTGTGTTTCATGTGGTGTAGTATCCTTGACATAAATTATAATTACAAAGATAGCAGGGGAAGAGTCAACACAGTAAAAGGTAAATACAAAACTGATGCAATGTGACCACTACGTATTTTTTTACTATGCTCTAATGTGAAGAATTACTTCAATCAATGGTTATAATTCCAACCTCATTCATAGAGACTCTGGACTGGAGGAAGGTCTGATTCTAGCTGGCATTCGCGTACCATATTTCAAAGAATTTTTGGGCGTGGCAGACATTTTGTTAAAGTCAGGGCTAAAATCAAGATCTTCAACGGGCACCATCATATCGCCGCCATCAATCATATCTTCTGCATTCCCGTGAACATAATCATCATCTGATACATCAATACCACTGTCACTCACTTCGTTAATGCCATCATCATCATCGTATGTAGCACTGACTTTTGACCAGCGAGCAAAATGTGGTCTTATGTAGCTGATGACAGTCCGCATTGATAGTTAGTGGACAGCAAAATCAGCGTAACCATAAAAATAATCAGAGAAAATATTAACCTTTCAGTTTTCTTCAATAAACATGGATCAAATGGAAAGAACATGTCAAGTCTATCCATCCCGCCAAAAGCCTTGGAAAGATTAGACTCGAGCTCATCATTGAAAACAAATGACTCCGATGCCATGAAAAGTTGAGAAGCCTTTGCCTGTCTAAGAAATTCCACTACTACAGTTGGCAAACACACCTGGTAGATAAATTTATATAATTTGATACAGAAGCACAACGTTGCAAGAACAGTTCTGACAAAGTGCAAACTTCACCCTTTCAAATGTCACGAAGTCAAGAATATTGAGTCTTACTGGATAGTCTTTTTCATAAATACTTGTCAAAAATAAAATAGTTAAGAAAGTGAAACGAAGTTAATTCTACAAAAATTATATTAATTAACTCATATATAGACCAATATTGACTGGGTCATTTTATTTTTTCTTAACCTTATCTCCTACAAGTGTTCATAAAGAAATTTAAGGAAACAGAGTGTGTTTTCCTCGTCATTTTATACACAAAATCCTACAAGATGTTTATCATTAAAAACCATGATCATGATGAAACTAAAAAGTTCCTCACCTTCAACGGACTCAATTTGTGTTTCCAAGATTGTCTCCATGGGCATATTAACAAGCTGCAATTTAAGCCTAGGAATGTCCATCAGATATCTCATGCGAAAACACAGAATATACATGATGGCCTGCTGAAACCAAAAAAGGTATAATGAACAAAATAAGAATACTGAACAAGAAAATGATAGTGGCTATCATATGAAAAGGCATCACCTTTATAGCAACCCCAACTAAAGGTCCAAAGTGATGAGACTCACCTGGCACCCAAAATAAAAAACTTGATGAGCTCGTGGGTTCATATCAAAATCATTTTATTTGCAATAAGCATAACACCGATCAACCAAGCTAAAATCCAAACAAACGGCCATAAAATCAATTTATAACAGTTTTCCTATTTTACTACCGTTGAAAGTCGCAAGTCGCCTACCTCATATTATTTTGAAATGGTTTAAATACATGTTAGGCTACTCCACATATTGTCAATTGGTTTTATGTTGAAACCTTAACATGGTATCAGAGTCAAAGTCTAACATCTTTCCGGTTATTGTCATGGGTCAAAAGTTGTCCTTTAATTGGGTCAAAAGTACCCTTTGTCTGGTCCGGCAGGCTTCGTTGGAGGGAGTGTGTTGAAAGTCCCACATCGCCTACCTCATATAATTTGGTATGGTTTAAATACATGTTAGGCTACTCCATATATTGCCAATTAGTTTTATGTTGAACCTTAACAACTACAAAATAAAGAAAACTTATTTGTCATAAATGAAAAGTGGATATTGAAAATGTTTCAAAACCTTTGTATGATGGAAGTGATCAATGCAGCTGATACGAACTTTGCACGAGAGAAGATAACTAGCAAGATAAGCAACAGCACTCATCCTGCAATGAACGAAGACAATTACCAATGTCATATGTTCTTTGAATATGATTTATAAAAAAATATTTATATTTGAATATACATTTTTTAATGCACTACATGACAACTTTCATTTCAGTCCAGTTTATTATCATCAAAAAGGGTTCCATGACGATGAAGCACTCATTTTTACTATAGAATTAAGTTGCAGCAACTATGGCCACATTTTGATACAATAGCCTCACTAAACCGTATAAAAGGACATTTAGAAAGTTGTTAAGGGGTTATCGTTCAAGCTGCATTAACTAAAGTCACAGTTTTCATTGCTGCAACTTGACCGTTATAGATTACCAAATTACAGACGGGATAAAATGAAAGAACATATTACGGCAGTAAAAATCATGCCAAATTAAGAGCCCCATTCCACCCATATGTTTCACCATTAAGTCTGGTGGATCAGGTGGATTTTAAGTTTAAAACACAAAACACCTTGTAATAGGGGGATTAACATTACAACCAAACATATCTGCAAGAAATTTCACACCACATCAGGTGCACACGCATAGAACATCACAAACTGGACGAAATATGGGCACTAATGAAAACACAATTCTCAGAAATAGTACCATCAAGAAACATAAGACAAATTAGAAACAGTAATAATTAAGTGAACAAAAGTACCTGGGTAAATTTTGATTTGTATGCATTCAATACAGTTCTCTGAAATGAATGCAGTAGAATATCGAATACATAATCAAAGATAACGATTAAGAATATTATGATGACGCCATGTTGATGCATTTTTTGAATATGTTGCGTGTCCTTATGTGGGCACTATGTAATTTTAAAGATGGGAATACCTCAGCCAAACGACCACTACTCTGACAGGATTCAAGGTGCAAAAAAGCCAGCACAATTAGACTATCTAATTTCTTAACAACCATGTTGTCTTGCAATTTTTGCCTATTTAACAACTCTGACTGAGGCTGTAAAATGAAGACAAGAAATTGATGAGATAACATATTAGGAGTAAGAGATTAACAACTTGACAACATACATAAATATATACAGAAACATAAACTAGGCAAGCAATACAGAGCCAACTATGGGAATAAAAGATTTTTCGCCTTCAAGCAAATCTATTTACATTGGGTTAATTTTTTGAGCTAACCAAAATAAACTCAGCGCTCATTTTAATTTTCGGAGTTCTGTTCTATCATTATACCACAGCATGTCTTCAAATAAATAATAAGAAGCATACCATACTATTACAACTCTCGTCCTCGTCAACAAATTTAATAATATCTTCTAACTCCATATCAAATATGCCTGCGGTATCTTCCTGCAAGATTCCATCCCATCCAATTTCCACCTACTACTAGTGAAATTGAACTACATGAATGACCAAATTATCCAGCTTTTCTTTGACAAATAAATTTAAGGGAGGATAAACTTACATCCAACTCTAGTATTCTAGAACTGACAGTTTCTCCAATTGCACCACTCTCCCGCTTTAACATATTCTCAACATACATGACAGTCTCCTACATGCAACAAAAAAGTGAACCCTGATAAAAAGATGTTACAAAGTTTTGATAAATGAGTTAGCACTACACAATCTCTTCATAGTCTATATCAACAAAATAATGTGTTTCCGTACTATTTCGAAATCAAAATGCGCACTAAAGAGTAAACTAAAACAAATAACCACTATACTTTGTGATATTAATAAACAAAGGGCAACAATGCAGACTCTTAAAAGATCGTACATAATTCATAATGTCAAAGTAAACAGTGCCCCCAAACTAGACATCTATGCAAAAAAGGTAAAAACAGTGAACAGTGCAGATATCGATTACTGAATGCAATTGTTGACAAAAAAAATGTACAATGACCAATAGGCATTAAGCTAATTGATACATCATCACATAATTAGTAATACACAAAAAATTTACTTAATAGCCTCTAGAGAAAATTGTATTAACTCACATATTCATTACTAAAGACACAAGGCATTTTCTGGACAACTATTCAAGGTGCAAGATGTAGACAAACAAGTATCTAAATAAAGCACTCTGTATATTATCACTTGATGTATTTGCAATGAGTGATGCATGGTCAATTTATAGGCCCTTTAGATATGGCCTCTCAACTACATGCATTTAATACAACTACTACCTTTCAACTACATACATTCAATACAACAACTACCTCTCAACTACTACCTCTCAACTACATGCATTTAATGTTTACCTAACAAAATCCCCCCATAAACTTAAATGCTTTTCTTGTCCTTCATTCCAAGCATCTTCTTGTTGTTCTCGAACAGAGTGGTTGACAGTGGCTTCGTGAACATATCTGCAGCTTGTGTTCGGGTTCCGACGTGCTCTAACTCCACATTTCCTTCTTTCACTTGTTCTCGGATGAAATGAAACCGAACATCAATATGTTTGCTTCTCTCATGATTGACCGGATTCTTTGCCAATTCAATGGCCGACTTGTTATCAACTCGAATCACAGTCCCTCTTTCTTGCTTCAACTCCAGCTTGCTTAGAAGGTTTCTAAGCCAAACTGCATGACAGACACTCCAGGATGCTGCAACGTACTCGGCTTCACAAGTTGACAACGTTACAATGGGCTGCTTTTTTGAAAGCCAGGTGAATGTTGTGTTTCCCATGAAGAATACATATCCAGACGTGCTTTTCCGGTCATCAACATCTCCACACCAGTCACTATCCGAGTAGCCTACTAGTCGATAATCATCCGTCCTAGTATACATTAGGCCAAGTGACACTGTTCCTCTCACATACCTTAGAATTCTCTTTAGTGCCTTCCAATGAGTATACCTTGGCTCCTCCATATATCGACTTGCTATTCCAACACTTAGCATTAAATGCGGTCCGGTATTTGTAAGATACCTAAGACTTCCAATCGGACTTCGGTATTTGCTCGCATCAACTCGGTCTCCATCTCGCATACTTAGAAAGTTTTGTACCAGGTTCCATAGGGGTGGAAACCGGGTTGCAACTTGTCATCTTAAACTTCTTCAAGATCTCCTCGAGCATACCTTTCTGCGACACAAAGATGCCATCCTTTCCCTGAACAACTTCTAAGCCAAGAAAATACTTCATAAGACCCAAGTCGGTCATCTCAAACTCCTTCTTCATCACTTCTTTAAACTCTTCAATTAGCTCGGCATTATTCCCCATGAAGATAAGATCATCAACATATAGGGTAACAAACATCACATCTTCTCCTTTCTTCTTTATATATAGAGCATGTTCATAAGGACACTGCTCATATCCATTCCTTTTGAAATAAGTGTCAATTCTTTCATTCCATGCTCGTGGAGCTTGTTTCAAGCCATAAAGTGCCTTCTTCAATCTCAGCACTTTCTTCTCTTCGCCTCTTCGCATGTATCCGAGTGGCTGTTCAACATATACTTCCTCCTCCAAGATTCCATTCAGAAATGCCGACTTCACGTCCATCTGCAAGATTGTCCATCTGTGTTGAGCTGCTAAGGAAATCAGCAGCCTAATTGTTTCCATTCTCGTCACTGGGGCGAATACTTCGTCATAGTCTATTCCTTCCTTCTGCTTGTACCCCTTCACTACGAGTCAAGCTTTATATCACTCAACTTCTCCTTCAGCATTTGTCTTCTTCTTGTACACTCACTTTACGCCGATAGGCCGCGCTCCTTTGGGCAAATCAGTCAGCTCCCATGTGTTGTTGCGTTCTATTGCCCCGATCTCCTCGTCCATTGCAGTTTTCCATCTTTTCTCCTGCACGGCCTCTTCAAAATTTAAGTCTTCTAAATCTGCCAAGAGACATACAACATGCACTTCGTCAGTGGAGTTGTATATATCTTGTAAACTTCGCGCTCTGGGCTGTAGAGGTTCATCTTCTTCATCAGAAGTCTCATGATCTCTCACAGTATGTGGTGTATCAACTTCCGAGCTTCTACTTCCTATGGACTCCTTCTCCGGGTTGTTCCAACTCCACTCGCTTTCTTCATCAATTTGAACATCTCGGCTCATGATGACCTTCTTAGTTATTGGGTTAAACCACCTGTACTCCTTGGTTTTTTCATCATACCCAATAAACATGTACTTTTTGCTTCTATCTTCGAGCTTGGTCCTCTGTTGAGCTGGAACATGACCATAAGCTATGCTACCGAACACTTTAAGGTGAGACACACTCGGTTTTCTTCCACTCCAGACTTCTTGTGGTGTCTTCTCGTTCAGCTTAGCATGTGGACATCTATTTTGCACATAGATGGTACATTGCACTGCTTCTGCCCAGAACTCCTTTGGCACATTTTTGCTTCTCAACATTGTTCGAACCATGTCAAGAATGGTTCGATTCTTCCTCTCGGCAACTCCGTTTTGTTGGGGTGAGTATGGTGCTGTCAGAAATCTCCTTATCCCTTGCTCCTCGCAATACTTCATGAGTTCGGATGAAATGAACTCGCCTCCTCGATCAGACCTAACAGATTTGATAGGCATGTCAGTCTCTTTCTCAACCATTGCTTTAAATCTCTTGAACACCTCAAACACCTCGGATTTCTCCTTCAAAAAATATACCCGGGTTTTTCTTGAAAAATCATCTATAAAAGAAATGAAATACCTTTTCCCACTCGAAGGACTCGGGGTAACCGGTCCACAAAGATCTGTGTGAATCAATCCGAGTTGTTCCTTTGCATGGTACTCGGCCGTCCTCGGAAATGAGGTTCTCGGATGCTTCCCGAGCACACACTCTTCACAAAATTTCTTTTCAAATTCCATAGACGGGAGTCCTCGCACCATCTCTTTCTTTACCAACTTGGTCAGCCCGCCAAAATGCAAGTGGCCAAACCGAAAGTGCCACATCATTGCTTCATTCTTCACGTCTAGTTTCAAGCACCTCTCTTGGACTATCTTCAACTCCATCTTGTACATTCTGTTCTTCTTCATTTCTACTCGGGCAATCAAACGATCCGACTTGTCCTTCAGATATAGTACTCGGTCTTTCATCAGAACCGAGTAGCCTTTCTCCATCAGCTGACCCATGCTCAGTATGTTGCTTTTGAGATCAGGTACATAGTACACGTCTCTGATTTATCCAACTCGGCTATTCTTCCGTAGGTACCGGATTGTACCTCCGCCTTTACCGCCACCTTTGATGCATCTCCAAATGACACGTGTCCGGCCTCAACTTTAGTGAGCTCCTTAAAAGGTTCTCGTCCCCGCACATGTGGTTACTTGCTCCCGTATCAAGATACCAAACCGAGTTGTCGAACAGCTCGGACTTAGCTCGACATCTGAACTTCTCGACATCATCAATACTCCTTCTTCCTCAGTGTCCTCAGAGAGGAGGTTTGTCTCCTTCTTCCTCTCAGATCGGCAGTCCTTTGCGAAATGCCCAACCTTCCCACAATTATAACATTTGATACCCGAATAGCGAGTCCTTAGCAAAATGACCGTACTTCCCACATTTGAAGCACTCAACTCCGGAATTGCTTGACCGACCACCTCGGCCTCTACCGTCACGACCTCTACCTTGTCTTCGGCCACGCCAGTTTTGTTGACTGACTGGCTCCTTGCCTCTTTCATATTCTCCTCTGCCTCTACCACCTCGGCCTTGAGTGTTCTGAGCATAAGGAACCTTCTTCTCCTTTAAGATTGCCTTTGCTTGGAGTGCTTGATCAAGGGACTCCTCTTTCTTCTTCCTTCTCCGCTGCTCATGCGTTTCAAGCGACCCGACAAGCTCTTCCACCGAGAGCACCGACAAGTCCTTGGACTCTTCTATTGCACAAACGATATTCTCAAAATCGTCCGTTAACGACCTTAAGATTTTCTCCACCACTCGGCAAGTGGGCAGCGTCTCTCCATTTCTTCCGAGTTGATTCACCACGGTCTCAACACGGGAGATGTACTCGGCAACCCCTTCGACCTCTTTCATCCTCATGCTTTCAAGCTCGCCTCTAAGAGTTTGAAGCCTGACTTACTTCACGCGATTATCCCCTTTATATGCCTTCTCCAGAATATCCCACGCTTCTTTTGAAGATTTAGCATTTGCTATCTTCTCAAAGCCGGACTCATCAACAGCTCGGTACAGTACGTACAAAGCCGTTTTGTCCTTTACTCGTGTTCCTCTCAATGCAGCAAGCTGAGCAATCGTCTGCTCTTCAATATTCTCTGGTTCTTGGTGCCCATTATCGACCACATCCCATACTTCTTGGGAACCAAGGAGAGCCTTCATTTGCAGGCTCCAGTTATCATAGCTTACACCTTTTGATAACTTTGGTAGGGGCATGCTGTTAGCTAAGTTGGTCATCTCAAACAAACTCTCTAACTCTCAAACACTCTCTCTAACGCACTCAGACACTCAGGCTCTCAAGCTCTGATGCCAATTTGTAGACAAACAAGTATCTAAATAAAGCACTCTGTATATTATCACTTGATGTATTTGCAATGAGTGATGCATGGTCAATTTATGGGCCCTTTAGATATGGCCTCTCAACTACATGCATTTAATACAACTACTACCTTTCAACTACATACATTCAATACAACAACTACCTCTCAACTACTACCTCTATAACCACTACCTCTCAACTAAATGCATTTAATATTTACCTAACACGAGGCACCAAATCAGCTATCTCTTTCAAAGCGGCATGCACTCCGGACAGAGCTTTACTTTTCCTTTCAATTCCATTCTCCTGTTTCACGGAATCCAAGAGGTAAAATGGCGGCACAGAATGTTTCACAAGCATCTTCAAACACCAATCAATGTGTTTCCATTGGAAGCAGCCTGCAAAAAAACACATTTCGCATGAAACTTAACTAAAATTCACAATTGACTCTACAATTACAAAGATCCAGTGGTGTCGCAAAAAAAATCATGTACCAAAGATACAATGAGTTCCTGCAGTGCATCCATAACCTCAGTTCCGAAATTCCAGAAGCTCATTCTTGAAACCTGAACAAAATTTCAAACAAAATTAGTCATATCCACAAATCATCTCCTGTGGAGGAAGAACTGCAATAAAATCTTACAGCAAAGAGAAGAGATTCGTGATGAACATAATCTATATAGGACACTGCACCAGAAAGAGCCTTTAAAGTTGTCTGCAACCATATGACTGCAACAGTATGATGTAACATTTCAAAATGTGATCAGCACAAGCCCACAAAAACTATGCAACAGCATCTCACTATCATGATGTAACCTACCACAAGTAACGCAACTTCATCAGGATTAAGATTCTTCTTCGGGTGTAAATAATCAACGAGCTCTTCGTAATTCTCCCTATCACCCTGGGGGACGATGATCCAGTTTTTATTTCCTTTGACAATATGGAAACAGAAAATTGAATTGAAAAAAAAGCCTATAACAATTCCAAAATCTGGTATACTTTACCATCCTGACTGCACAAGTACACCTCTGAAGTGTCAAACTAACTGCAAATCACTGTAACCACTGTTCTCCATTACAGAGAGGGGTAACAGTTTGTAACAGATGCGAAAAAAATAAAAAAATAAAAAAAAATAAATAAATAAATTCACCGCGCATTACGAGAAGGAAGGAGGCACGTGGAAAACTGTTACTGAAGGTGGTATAGGTTCTGTCACACTGTCCGAACCTATCCTACATAACCAAGGAAAAAATAAAATTTAAGCTTAATCTATTTTTATGTTAGAATAACAGACTGTCGATGGTCTCATTAAACTTTTTTAAAAGAAATATTAATATATCTATATAAAATTAATTAATTTAAAAAATTCAATAAAAATATATTTTAAAAATTTAAATTTTATTAATAAAATTGATTTTTATTTAAGATATAATAATTTAATATATAAATTATAAGAAAATATAACAATTTAATTTAAAAAAAAATAAAATTTTATTATTTTTAATTATTATTTATTTTTAATAATTTATTAATTTACCATAATAATTAATCTTAATATAAATAATTATTAAATATTTATTCTTAGAATAGTAAATTTTTATTAAATTAATTTATAATATATATATATATATATTAATAAAATAATATTTATAAAATAATTATTATTTTATAAAATAAATTAACATGTAAACTTACGAACGAATTTGATCAAAATTCATATAAGTTATACTTTAAATAGGTGAAGTAGAATTTAATTTAGACTATAGCTAATTTTGCCTAACCTCAACTATTTTTAAAGCCTTTCAAACGAATCCAACAAACTAATCCTATTAACAATTAACAACTACTAAGAGAAGGTCACTATTTATGTGTCTTTTTCTCTTTTGGTCTAGTTACTCTTCGACCTAATTTGGGCTTTTATGAATCCTATAGGGTATTCCGGTTAGATGTATTTGATTGGATTTTTTTATTAAATAATTATTTATATTAAATATAAAAATAAAAAATATTTAATTTGATTTAGTTTTAATTTAATACAATATTTAAATAAAAATAAATCAATATTCATATTTTTGTGATTTTTGTTTTTATAAATTATTTTATAATAAAAAATTTAAATAAAGAGATATATTATATAATTTTTGATATAATTATTATTATACTTATAATTTTAAATCTTATATTTATAAATAAATTATGTAATTTTATAATTTAAAATTATAATTTAAAATTAATATAATATAGTTCATAATTATAATAAATATATTCAAATTATAAAATAATCAAAAAATATAATTATACATATTTATTAATTGATATTGAATTCTAAATATATAATATTATATTTAAATATAATATTCAATTATTAATTTTTAATTAAAATTTTCTTTAAAGTACAGTGAATTCAAAAAAATAAAAAATAAGTTCAATTTTCATTTATTTTCAATTAACAAAATGGTTTTTAACATTTTTATTATATCATACGGAGAATTTTTTATTATTAGTTATTTGAATTTTATATTTTAAATTTTAATTTATTTTAATATTGCATAAAATAAATATATATTTAATATACGTATTATTCAATTCATTTTAATGTATTTAAATATTATTTTATTTACTTTTCTTCCATTCAACTACAAATAACTTCATATTACTTTAACCAAATTGAAAAGGAGTATTTTTTTTTTTACAATTATATATATTTGAAACCAAATTATAGTACTCTGTTCCATTTTGCTAAAATTTGGCATTGATATTAAAAGCGTGAAAAACTAAGATGATGTATCATATTTTTTCAAAAAATTTAAATTATATTTTAGATATATCATAAATAATTTATATTGTGTCTCCAACAAAGAGTGTATATTGTGATAATTATTTAACGATATGTTTTAAAAAAATATTAAAATTCAAATTATAACTTCATTGAAAACATATATTGGAAGAGATATAAAATCAAGTTAAGTATGATATTAAAAAAAAACTTAAGGTATATCTCATAAATGTTAAGAACAGTGTTCTAAAATCCAACATAGGAGTGTATTTAAATTTTAAAAATAATACATATAGTTATACTTTATTAAAACATTTAAAATATTAAAATCATAAAAGATTAATATCCTATGTCATATTATTGAACATATAATTAATTTCATTTCAGATTTGTGATAACTCATTTATATATTTCTGATATATATATATATATATATATATATATATATATATATATATATATATATATATATTAGTATATTCTCATTTTGACTCTTAGATCTAAACATTCAGTTTTTTTGTGTTTTTTTAAATAATTGATAAATTGAATATCTTAGTTAGTTGAAAGAAAAAACTGTGTAAAATGCACTTCTATAAAAAAAAAACAACACAGAGAAGGTGTTTAGTGAACTAGATAGTATAAAATGTACCTCCCAAACTTGAATTCTCTTTTTTCCTTTTTTGACAGTCCCAGACTTTAATGTTTAAAATTTAACTTTTTAGTCATAAACCCTTTATAGTGGTGGCATGCTATGTTTTGATCCTATTATAGTGCTAATCACTACCTCCTTGGTGTTCTAAAATAGTAAAATATGATGTTTTGTCACCCACCAAAATTTGCAGTGGTTTCGTTTTCAATAACTTGTCACGAACTCGCAAGAACCGTGCATCCAAGAAATTTGGGGTTGTTATTGCTCCATTGACTTTCAATCAATTAACTGAACATCTTCCCACTTCATCAGTTTCATTTCCAGACCATTGTTATGGGACACACTTGAGGGCCACATTAAAAACTTAGGACACATTGAAAACCGTAAACATATGAAACAAATTAACTAAAACTATAATCTACACACTTTAGAGGGTGTTCATGCCACACAGTTCTTTACATTTACAACTCTACTTATCTGGATTATAACTTTTCTTCATTGTACAAACAGAACTCTGAAGAATAATAGTCCAAGGTTTTTATTTGAATATATACATACATACATGTCACCCACCTAGTGCTCCGGGTTTGGAGATTTTTGTTAACTAGGTTCTCATCAGACAAGAAAATAATGAGGGAGGTTGTGACTGTTGCCATTGCTGCTACAATTGGGAATCTTCTGGTTGGATGGGATAGTTCAACCATTGCAGGTGCATATGATATATATTCATATTATATTCAACTTACTCATTGTCTATTTTTATATTTTTTACTCAATTATCATATAATGTAAGACTTTCAATTTCTGATATATAAAATAACTTCTAATGGAATAATAGCCTAAAAATGTTTACACATATGAACAAATATTCCAATTCACAAAATTTAGAAGGTTAATAACAAGAAACTTATGTTTTTGGGTGAGGCCAATGGCATTGGCATTGGATCTCATTACGAAACTCAAGAAAGACACTTGTTGTTACATGTATGCAGGGGGCATGAGCTACATCAAGCGAGAGTTCAAGCTGGATACTGACCCCACACTAGAGGGGCTAATCATGTCCACAGCATTTCTCACTGGCACTGTTGTTACAATATTCTCTGGGACAGTTTCTGACGTGTTTGGAAGGCGTCCTATGCTGATAGCATCATCGATCATGTTTTTCTCGAGCGGTTTGGTGATGCTATGGGCCCCCAATGTTACTGTGGTTCTGTTGTCAAGGCTAATGGATGGAATAGCCCTTGCACTGGCCATAACACTCACTCCTCTCTACATATCAGAGATAGCACCACCTGACATCAGAGGCACTCTCAACACTGTCCCACAGTTTTCCTGCTCTGGGGGAATGTTTGTTGCGTACATCATGGTGTTCTTCTTGTCTTTGAAGGAGTCCCCAAGTTGGAGAGCAATGCTTGCTGTTGTGTCTATTCCTTCTGTTGCTTACTTTTTTCTAGCTGTGTTTTATCTCCCTGAATCTCCTCCTTGGCTTGTGAGTAAAGGGAGAATCACTGAGGCTAAGAAAGTTCTGCAAAGACTTCGCGGCACCGAAGATGTTTCAGGTGATGCTACCTAGCTTCCTTGATAATGTTAACATTATTTCCATCATCACTTGATTCAGTACATGCTCTTTAGTTAGTAAAAGATTTAAAGATAATTGCATCTTACTTAATATTGTCCCATCTGTATCCTAATCTTTTATAACATGTTCAACACCGCTATCCATACAGGAGGTGCAACATAGCAATGTAGATACTGATTTGGAGTTTGCTTTGATCTATAGGGGAACTGGCCTTGCTGGCTGAGGGTATGAGTCCAGCGAGTGAAAGCACCACTGTAGAAGAGTACATAGTAACCCCTGCCTGTGATATCATGGCCAACAAGGAAGCAGGGAGGGATTGCATAAAGCTCTATGGACCCAACCAAGGAGGAGTTTCAATGGTTGCCCAACAAGTGAGTGGACAAGCTAGCATGTCATCTCGCAGCATGTTAGGCTTGTCTCGCCATGGAAGCGTTATTGCTCAGGCTGAAAATCTCAAAGACCCTCTAGTCAATCTCTTTGGGAGCATCCATGACATCAATCCCCCCGTCCTTGAGCCTGGTGGTTCAAGAGCCATGCTAATGGGAGACACATATCAGAGCACTGACAATTTGAATGCTCCTTTACTTTCATCACAAGGCATTGTTGTGGACAGGGACAAGGCTTTAGGAACAGGGACTAATGATGGAAACCTAGTACCTAAGAACACTGACATCGGTGGAGGTTGGAAATTGGTTTATAAATCAGCTGAGAGTGGGAAAAAAGAAGGGGGGCTCCAAAGGGTTTATCTGCGTGCAGATCCTAATGTAGTACCTCAACAAACTTCATTTTATGAGGGCCATGACATGAATGCAGATGGTAGTGAGGCTTTTCAGGCATCTGCACTTGTCAGCCACTCAGTTCTCTGCCCTAAGAATATGAGCACGAAACCAGAAAATGCTGCCAAACGTACAGGTTTTGCTGGTTTGTTAGATATAGGAGTCAGGCGGGCATTAGTTGTTGGAATTGGACTACAAGTTCTTCAGCAGGTAAACCAAAACAAGGTTTTATTTATTTAATTTCTTCTCTATAAGTAACCAAATAGGAAAAAATTACTAATTGGTATAACATTACCCTACAAGATTCTTGTTTTCGTTTTGATGAGTTTGGTATTAAGGTGTTTTGATTATTGTGTATGCGGAATATTGTGTGGTGGTAGTTAATAAGGTTTTGCTCAACTAGTAGAATTGAACAATATCAACAAAATAGTCTTTGATTGTTACTGAATCAGCTGATTATGATCTTTCATCAGTAAGTTATCCTTCGCTTATAGACGCCCTGCCTTTGGAATGATGCCACCTCTCCTCCTCCCTTTTAACTTTTCTTCTCTAAATTTAGGAAAATCAAGAGAATCAAATTGTTCTTGTGTGTTACATATAATCAACCCAGCCCTCGAATATACAACATTTCAATTTGACTCTTCTAGCAAACTTATTCTATACAAAACAACCCAAGGACTTCAAATTCTAGCATAGTTAATCTTGGAATCTCTTTGCCATGTGCTGAGTACATGATGTAGCAAAGGAGATATGTTTTCTGGAAAATTATATAATTGTATTATTTGTGGTTGTGTATACTTGTATTCTATTACACAATACATGCTTCATTTCTTAGATTTTAAAAATAAAATGTGTGTTGCAGGCTGCTGGCATAAATGGATTTCTATACTATGCTCCCCAGATTCTTGACCAGGCAGGTGTTGGGGCTCTTCTGTCAAATTTCGGAATTAGTTCAACATCTGCTTCATTACTTGTAAATATCGTTACAACATTCGCAATGCTTCCTTGTATAACCATTTCCATGAGGCTCATGGATGTTGCTGGCAGGAGGTATGCTTGAATTTCCTTTTAGTCTTGTAATAGATAATGCTTAGCCTTTTTACAATTTCTTTTTATAAAACGTGACTCAATTTTGGTTCATCTTTTTTGGAGAGAATTAACCCTAATTTTCATTTCTCCCTCATCATCACGGTTGATCACTGTGTTATTATGGAAAGTTGACAAGACAGAAATTTGAATGATGACAAGGATAGTGTGATCCAATGAATTATCATAAATTATCAAAGTAGTAGGCATTGCAACACATACCAGCGTGGAAAATAGGGACTCAATCGATCATATATATTAAGAATAAGAAGTGGTCGACGAAACCAACAGGTCATGGTCGACATAATCTTGTAATTGGGAAGGAACATCCTCAATCCAAGACATTTCCCTACGAGAAAAAGTCATTTTAGCTAGCATATGAGTCACCCAGTTGTTATTTATTTCTTCTAATATGAGACAGATAAAACAAAAAGTTATTACCTAACACCATCTTACATTCATATAAAATAACATCATAGTAAGATAAAGGTTGTGATGCTCACCAATTCTTGATAGTCAGTTTCATAAATTACATTAGTCAACAAAAAATGGCGAGCCACATGAATACTCCATCCAAAAGTCATACCTTCAGTGATGTTCGGTCGGAAACATGCGAGGTTGAAGAGAGTTGCTGCAGCCATAACTTCTCCTTCATGATTCCTAAAGATCACCCCATACATGTGCCACGTCCCATCTTGACAAAGGCATCAAAGTATGCTTTTCTTTGGCCCACATGTGGTGGTTGACAGCCTTGCACCTGATTTGTACGTCTTTTGTTACTGTGTTGAAGTTGAATTTGCAGATCACTTTTCTTAGCTAAAATTTGTGGCAGTTGGGGCATTTTATGTTTAAACACCCAATTTTTCTCCTTCTCCATATTACACATAACAATTAGTGCAGCAAAATCTAAAATGCCGCAAATTATGACAATGACATTGTATATTTTTTCATGACAGGTCAATAATGCTATACACAATACCCATTCTGATAGTGTCTCTCATGGTACTAGTACTCCGGGACTTGTTTCACATGAGTTCTACCCTCAATGCAATAGTCACTGCAATGAGTGTGATGGTATATGAAAGCTGCTTCTGCATGGGGTTGGGAGCAATTCCCAACATCTTGTGTTCAGAAATCTTCCCAACAAGTGTTCGTGGAATATGCATTTCTATTTGCTCCCTTACGTTCTGGATCAGCATCTTGGTAGTGACTTCTTCCTTTCCCCACTTGCTCCATGTCCTTGGGCTAACCGGGGTATTTGGATTATTCGTAATTGGGTGCATCGCTGCATGGATATTTGTCTACTTGAAAGTTCCTGAAACAAAGGGCATGCCTTTAGAAGTCATCATTGATTTCTTTGCTGTTGGTTCAAAGCCTGAATGAAACTTACTGATCCTGCTGAATTCATTGTAATTGTCATCACAAGCATGGGAAGAAGCATTGATTGAAATATTTTGAAGCTTATTAGTTGCCTTCGATTCCCCTAAAACTGTTTGTTGCGATGGTGGAAGAAGATTGACAGCGTAATAATCTAATACTGCTTGGACACGATGTAATTATAGTTTCAGGTAGCTTGGATACACTGTTGGAGACATCATTTGACTTGTTTTTCATGTCTTTAATTTTTTCTTTTGGTTATTTTCATACTGCAGTTCTTTTATCCATGGAGAGTGATATAAACTGCGTCTGCAATGATTCTAATCCACAATTTGACAAACTCCCAAACAACACTTTTTTTTATAATTTTTTTTTATTTAAAATAAAATATTTAGAGTAATAGAGGTGTATTTTTTTTCCTTCTAAAAAGTTAGCTTAAATTAGTCATTCTTTGAAATTTCTATTTTTCTTATGCCATGAAAAGATTTTATATTCTTCAATAAATGTACCACGTGATATAATGGAAAAAATTAGTTTCCAAATAATCTCAATTAGGATTTTATTTTAGTTTATTATTTTTAGTTTTGATAATAAGTTATCTATTTTTTATATTATAATTATTTTTATCAAATACCTTTTTCGTCTCTACTTTTTTTTTAGATTTTATTTTAGTTCCTAAACATGAATATGCCTTAGTTTTTATAATTTTGTATAGGAATTTTTGTCATAGTTTTCAATTTTTTTATATGTTAAGTACCACGGTTAAGTGAAGAAGTAACATGGTAATTAGTGATACTTTTATCATACTAATTTAACATCTATAGAATAAGTATATTAATTAATTTTTTTATTTTATTAATTTATTTAATTAATTTCTATTTTTAATTATTAATTATTTTAGTAATACCCTTATCAAATTTTCTTTTCTACAGTTTTTAATCATAATTATGTATATTTAAAAATAAAAAACAATAGAATTTAAATAAAAAAATATAATACTAATAATCTAAATTTTTGATGAAAATATAAAATGTAAACTTTCATCAGTTTTTGTTATAAGTATTAAAATAGGTTTAATCCAATAATTTGACTTAAACAACTTGAAAAATAAGTTAGAATAAAAAAATTATGACATAAATTGGATATGATATTAAGTGATATTATTTTATTAAAAAATATATATATTATAAATTAATTTAACTAGAGATAACAGTAAATATCATAAGTCTTTAATAATTATTTTTTAAATATCTGACCATTAAAATTAATTACTATTTTAGATTAATAAATTACTAAAACCTAAATGATAATAATGAAAGTTATTTTTTAACTTTTTATAGTGGGATGAATTAATGAATTTATATTGTTATAATTTATATATTAAATTATTAAAAATAGGTCTCGTTATTAATTTTATTGACTATCAGATCAGATTAAGTTCAACGGGTCATTTTGACTATCCTAATTTTTGTTACAGAAAAAACCAAAAAAAATTATAATACAAAAATTAAAAAGATAAAATTCTATTTTTATTACTCTACCATATTTTATGTATGAGTAAAAATATTAATATTTTTTTACTTTATTAATTATCTATTTAATTTCTCGTTTTAAATCATTTATTACTTGACATTTTTAAAAAATAATTAAAAAATGTAATTAATATTCTTAACCTGTACCCTTTGCACCACATGGTGTATAAACCAATTTAACATAGCAGAAATGTGTTAATTAATGCCACCATTATCTTCTTGTGCTGGCCCTCAATGCATGGGTTTACCTGTGGAGCCGAAGGGTAAATCTGTGGGAGCAACATTAAAATATTTAAACATTGATGGAATGGAACCTTAAATGGCTCACCTATCCTTAATCATTACTTAATGATGATAATAATTTGAAGGAATACAAATAACAGTAAAAATATTTAAAATAAAGAAAAAAATATTGACAGCCTAAATAAGTTTTATGAAAAGAAATAAAAAAATTAAATGAATTAAAAAACTGATGAGAAACTAAAAGTCAATTTCATGAAATACTAAAAATTAAAAACTTAATTTATAAAAAAAAATTACACAATTATCATTTCAAACTAGTTGACGTGATGAAAACACATATTCCCATTTCATCACATAATAATCATACTTAAAAATAGCATAAATTTTTTTGATAAAGATAAAAAAGATAGAAACAAATATCGACAAAATGTATTTATTTTAGATTAAAAATAAATCCAAATAAACGTTAGTAAATAAAAAAAATCGTACTTTTAACTTTAATTTTTTAATTCTTTTTTGTTTTCACTTTTTGTCCTCTCAAAAGAACGCCATGTTAAAAGTCCGATTCAAGGAAGTAAAAAATAAAAAATAAAGTTTTCATTAGAAATTATATGGAATTTTTGGTATGTTAATAAAATGTTTTGACTTAATTATCAATTTGTGGTTTTATGATTTTTTTTTCAAATTAATCTTGCAGTTATTTTCACAAACTACTTGACCAATTTATCCATTCATCAATTCAATAAATTAGTTTAGTCCAATTTTAACAAAGAGATTATTATCTTTAAAAATGTCTGCACCTTTTGGGACCAACTCCCTCGTTTATATAAATTCCACTCGGGTATGCGAAATTCAACAATAACACTGAATATTCTTTATTAGGGTTTTAACTTTCCCACTATAGATTGAGATGTTAAATATCTTAAAAGTTATCCATTAAGCAATTTAAAAAAAACCAAAATAGATACACGCATTCAAAAGCAATTATTTTAACTGTGTGTGATGGTGCCAATTCGAGATTTATTCTCTGAAAATTTTAGTGATTGAAATAATTGATAGCTTACGTGTTGGATTGAGATCACAAATATGGATTGAAACTTTTGCCACCAAATACATACATCATTGGAAGACGATTACTGAACATGTTATACCGTGTATGTCAGAATAACCCTTTTGTTTGAAATTGCAAAAATCTCATTATTTTGGGCACGGATCATGAATCGGTTATGATCCAGAGCTTTTATCACTCGGTTTTTGACATCATTGTGAGGTTTGACAGAGTGGAGAGAAAACGTAGGTAGCATAGTTCAGAAGATTTGACTGCATTGCATATATGTGAGGTTGGGATTAGTGAAAAAGTAGAGAAAAAGTAGGAAAAGGTAGGGTAGGGAGGAACTTTGGTGAATGAGTCTCCAACTCCATCGATTGAAAAGTGAAATTAAACAATGTTCGTGTAACCAAAGTGGAACAAATGGATGAAATAAATAATGTTTGGCAACGCAAAAATGTTGCTTTCCTGATAACGTATCTCGATGAAGGATCTGTGAAAAATATGGTATATTGCTTTTTGAAGTCGCAACTTTCAACTTTGCTGGTGAGTGAGGTGTTCACACTAAAGCCGAACATGAGAGAGGAATAAAAGATAACCTAGGAAGGTTAATGGTGAGTGGGACCTCACAAACAACATATCCTACTCAAAACAAAAAACCCTTGGAAGATGCCACCTTTTCACAAGCATTAATGGTGTGGAACTCCTGTAGTCCTTCCATTAACAAATATCTTCATTATATGGGAATGAGAATTAGGACAGATGCAAGCAAGAAAGGGACCGTGTAGTGTAGCCAAAGGGCATCTCTACTTTCACTGCTAATTTTTCTGTTAACTCCATAAAATAAGCATTTGCACTTCCTTTATGTCCCTTCTTTGTCATCTCTTCCCTTTTAACCTTTATGCACCGTTCATTTTGGGTATTTCCTTTTCCCCAACGTTTGTTTAATCAAGATGCAGTGGAGTTCCACACGTAGTGGAAATTTAGCTTCCTGCACAAGCTTGCTTCATAAACTACTGGTCATTGTTTGCTCTGCATGCTGCCAAAAATGTTCCTTTGACTGAATTGATTGACGTTATTCTCCTTCACTGCCACAATTGGTACATATGGGTACTTGTTCATAGTTGGAACTTGGGAGAACAATGGCTACATCTCAAAATTTAGGTCAAAGACTACTTCAACCTAACACTCAACTAAATTAAAAAAAAAAAATGAGTTAGATTCTATCCTCAACTTCCAAATTGGTATAGAAAGTCCATTTAACAGGTTTTTTTAAGAAATCTAATCTTAAAGTATGTTAGAGGAATGAATGAATGTGTTTTTTTCTTTAGTTAAAATGGGTTTTTTTATTTTATGTTCTAATAAGACGGGTTATATAAATATCCCTGCAGGAAAAAAAGAAAAAGAAAGAGGATGTGCCGAAACAATTAATAGTCGTGACACACAGGAAGTTTAAAAACCACTGCACAGGTTTGGTTTTGCATAATGTTGTTGGCGGGTTTTGTTGTATTACATGCTATATATCCATCTTTTCTACACTTGTTTGTTATGTGCACCTCCTTTCACCACCAATTTATTTAGATGTTGATTGATTTAATTTCTACCACATACTAATATCCTACTTCCTTTTCAACGTATTTTTCTTTTTTCATAGTCCCGATTTTTATTTTAAATAATCAATCATTTTTTCTTTTAAATTGAATTTTAATAAATTAACTATTTTAATTTAAGTTCAGTCGTTTTCATATTTATTATACTATTCATCTACCACGTGATCTTGATGGTTAAGTAATAATCACTGTTAAAATTCTTTAATTACTCTACATTTAAGAATTAAAAAAAAGTATTTTATAGACTCGAATTAAACTAAATACAAATACAATTTAGAAAGTCAAACAAAAATATTAAGAAAGGAAATTTATTGAGTTCTCAAAGAAAAAATTGTGATAAGGAGTTGAAACTGATTGATATTTTTTTTTTATTAAAGTAAATTGACAAAAGCCATCTTCGATGCTAAAATCATTTTTCTATTAATATTTCCTTAAAATCGTCTTGATCAATTTATATTATGAGAAAAAATGTTGTTAACTCTTTTTCGTAAATTTTTAATTTTATTATAAAAATACCAATTATCATTTAAATTGAATTAAAATACGATAGTATAACAACTTTTTACAACATCAATAATTACAAATTATCATTTTATGATAATTAATTTAAATTCAAACTTAAGTAGTTTCTAGTTATAATCCAGAAAATAGTAATCTTTATCCTTCCTTTCCTTGTAACTAAAACAAGCGTTAAGGTAAAAACAAATCCTTTAGAGGAAAAAGAAAAGAAAAACGCAATTAGAAAAGAAAAAAGTAGTATTCTTATCCATCCCGCAAAAAAACCAGACTCTATACAAATTAAACTTCTGACCATGACAATAATAAGCATCAAGCAACGCTAAAACGACGTAGTGTTTTATCTACAAAAGAAACGGATTTCAAGGCAAGAAACCGTAATTACTAAACCCGTTTGTAACAATTACATTACGACTACCATTCGCACCGTTATTATCGGCATTGCCGCCGCCGCCGCCGGGCTTTGTCTCCGGTTCGCTGGTACCCGATGCGACCGCCGGGAAGTGACCGCACTTCTGGCAGCGTGCGACGGCGAAGGGCGCACGGCACGAGGGGCACGAGGAGTGTGACACGAGCCATGTGTCCACGCACGCCACGTGGAACCCGTGTCCGCACTGCGGCAGCACGCGGACCTCGTCGCCCCCGGCGAACTCCGTCAGGCAGATAGCGCACTCCGACCACTTGTACCGCTCGCCGTCGCCGGCGTACGTGAACCTGGGAAGCGAATTCACCACCTTCTTCTTCAGGCCCCTGTTGGCCGTCGACGGCGGGCCTCCGCCGGCGACGGAAGCCGGTGACCGGCGGAGCCAGGCGCAACGCACGATGGCGACGAGGCCCACCACGCAAATGAGCGCACAGAGGAGCGCGGCCAGGATGACCACGAAGTCGGACTCGACGGCGGCGGCTTCTTCCGGCGGTGGCGCGGCGACGGATTGGAGGAGTCTTAGCCCGCGTGTCATGTTGATGGGAAGAAAGATTGTGAAGTTAGAGTTTGGTGACAATTGTGTTAGAGAGAGAAAGGAAGAAAATTAAAGAGAGAAGTGTATGGTTGGAGTGTCACGTTTTGGAAAGTAAAATAATTGTGGTGGGTACTTATAGTTGAGAGGAGGGTTTAGTTTGGTGGTTATTTATTGTGTTTGAGGATAAGAGTGAGTGGTGAAGACTTTGTTGACTTAATAAGAAAACAATAGAGAGAAGTGAAAAAAATGGAGATGTTTTTGCTTGCTATAGGTACTTGAAATGTTGAATTCCTTTGTTCGGTTTCTGTTTGGCTACTTTGTGAGGTAGGTCATGGGAAGAAGGTAGGGAGGGGCCTAGATTTAGGATCATACATGATTAAGAAGATGAAATAAAGCCTTGTTACAACCTGTCTAACCTTATCTTCTTAAACCTAAATTTTTAGATCCCCAACAAAATTTGCCATCAATTGCTTGTCTATTGTTTTTTATTGCTTTCTTGTCTATTTATATTATGTTTGGTTATCTTTCATGCATACACTTGACTTTATTTGTTTTATATTTATTTTTGTTAAAAATATTTTCACACGTAAAAGTATCTATCTTCTTCCTTTTTACCCTTTTTTTTCCTACAAACCAAATATTATTAAAGTTGGGTTGTTTCTTGAATGTGAATTTGGTATTTGTTTGGTTTTCAGGTTGTGAATAATTACAACCATCTATCAAAGATAAAAAGTGAGTAGTGGTGAGAGAACATTTCAATTTTTAGTGGGTGGTATAGAATACTAGAAAGCGTAGGTTTGTTCACTTTATTTAGTGTTTTCTCATATAAAATGATGCATGGACTTAAAATATAAAGAAGAAAAAACATGGTTATAATATGGAACAAAAAACAACATATGATTGGAGAATAGATACGAAGGATACGCGCTTAGTTCTTTCTTTTTGTGTCTTGAATGCAATAATTACTGAATTGAGAATAACCAACACTATTAAACTACGTACAATACAAGTTCGTTCATAATTCAAAGTCAGGTGTATATGCATTCTGTATATGGCAATCACACGCATCTTTTGAACGTGAATCTGATTTAAAATTTCCGAGTTAAAAAGGGCATAATATGCTAAAGAACGCTGAAGTTGAACCCAATTGTATGAATAAGTGTAAAGTATCGTCTTTGTTGTAGTATCTTAGTAGTGATTATGTTATTAACTTTTCAGAACCTACTTTGTTGATTACTTAAATATGACCATGAATTGCAATTTTCAAGGGTCCCTTTTCTATTTTCTGTTTCTAGGAAGAGAACAGAGGCAATTATTTGTAATGAAATGCTTTAGAGTTATATCAGGATGGTGTATGAATATTTTTGAAATGGTGTTGTAGAAAGCAAATTTTTCACTTTTTCATAATGATTTTGTCATTTTTGGTTCCTCCCCCAACAACAAAACACATGCTAAATGAGTTTGTTTTGATTTAATTTAATCACTAATTTTAAATTTGAGTCTTAAAATGTAATAGGGCCAAAATTTGATTGAAAGAATTTGTCTCCTTTATGGTCTTGTCCTCACTAAAACTTATTAGAGTGCGCCAAACTCCAATTAATTATTGAGAACCGATTTGATGTTGGAAAGCAAAGTGTCATAGAGTTTTCTTTTTGAATTCTTTTTATTAAATTAAACGTGATTTTGGGGTTTTGTCAAACAGAGAATCATATGAAGTTTTAGATGAGTTCAAAAGTATTCTTCTTTATATAAAGCTGAAGCAGGAACCTCATCTTAAACTATAGTGTTATGTTTTAGCCACTATATGTCACGTCTTAAGACTAATTTTGCTAATTTATATGCCCATATTCCATATTCAAGTTTTATTTTTTATTTTTTTAGAAAAGAATAAAAATTCACGATGGTTGGAGTTTAATTAAAGGCGAGTCTTAATTAAGGTTCCTTTTCTTTAATTTTAAATATTAACAGAACTAATTTATATTTAAGTACATGTTTAAATAGCTACAGACAAAATAACTTGAAATAAAATTATTAAAAAATATTGTATGAAATAGCAACAAAACAAGGGAGTAATACAATATAAAAGTATATAACAATTTATATCTTTAAGTGTTTTAAGAATTGGTTTTGAAAAAAAAAAAGGATATATTTTTTTAATCAATGTTTATTTTTGAATAATACTTAAAAATAAAAATATATTAATAAATTTAATTTTATAATCTTTTATTTATTTTCATACTTAATATTATCACCCACATTTTGACTTATGATACTTTTACAGTTTTTTTCCTCTACTTCTACTCCATTCAATGTCATCGTAATTGTATTTTTTTTCATACGTTTTTTCAATCCATCCAACCTAAATCCTAAATTATGAATTTGTAGATGTTAATTTATTTATATAAAAAATCTAAAATGTTTTGTGATATATATTTCCTAAACAAAGAATAAAAACAAATAAAATTATATAAATTTATTATAATAATTTGATTAATTAAAATTACATCATTTTAATTTGCTAAAAAATTAAAAATTTAACTCTTTTATTGTATTGATGTTTTTTTCTTTGAAGTCATAAAATATTTTGAACTTGATTTTAGTTGATATATTAGTTTTGTGAGAATAAGATATCAATCTATTCTAATGTAACATAAATCTTTTTATTTAAGATAAATATAAATCAACTTAAAAGAAAAATTAGTCTGACTCAACCAAACCTAGTATAGTTTCACTTTATCCTATCTTATTTATCTTGATTTGCTTTGACCAAGATCGAAATAACTTATTTTAGATAAATATAATTCATTTGACCTATTTTTAGGCATGATCCAATTTATCTCATCTTAACTCAATTTATTAAATAAATTTGGGGTTGTATTTTATGATAATTTAAATATTTTATCTAAAAAATATTAAAATTTAGTAAACTTAAATATTTTTATTCAAATAAAATATTTAAAATAAAATATTTGTAAATTAAATTAATTCAAATTAAAAATATCTAAATTTTAAAAAAAATATAACTCTTATATAAATACAAGATAAATTTTAATCATTAAATAATAATAATAAGAAGAAAAGTAACTTATGTGACGTATGCTTTTTACTGTGCAAAAAAAAAGTTTTCCTCATGCACAATAAAATTTTTTCTTTTATATATTCGAAGGGGGGATGAATGGTTTTTGCGGGAAATTCTTCCTCCCATATCACATGTTCCTCATTCTTCTTCTTCTTCTATTGTCTAAATTTCAAGCAACAAAACTCTACTCGTGCAGGACCTAGTGAAACGAGAGAGAGATTGAATTAAGTGGGAAAACTTCGGTAGAAATACCATACCAGGTCAGGGGAAGTTTAATTCATTCAATATATGAAATTGAATTGTTGGGTACTCTGTGAATAAGGAATAAGAGTAGAGATATGAATTATTTGAATGTCTGATTTTGAAGAATTTCTGATTTTGAAGAATTTCTGATTCTGAAGAACTGTTCACCGTTTGAAAGTTTTTGAAAATCTTGAAATTAAGGATGAATTATATAATAAAATTGTTGTTTTTAACTTAAATTGAACATATTTATGGTTTAATTTTGATTTGGAACTAATTTGGGTGATTCAAACTGAGAAATTTGAAACCTGGATTTTGAAAATGGCGTACTGGAGGTGATTACTATTCATATTTTGCAAAGTTTTAAATATTGATTAAATTCTTGAAATTAAGGATGAATTATATGGTAAAATTGCTGTTTTCAACTTAAATTAGATATAATTCATGTTTAATTTCGATTTGGGACTAGTTTGGTTGTCTAAAGCTGAGTAATTTGAAATCTGCCAAAATATGCAAAATTCGACAGTGTTACTGGGCGAAGGAAGAAGAAAGGGATATGGTGGGGATTTTTTAAAAAGATCAAGGGTAAAATAGTCATTTTACATCCTAGGGACATAAATAGAATTTTTGAAAATGTTCAAGGGTAAAATAGTCATTTTCGGGACATGGAAGGAATTTTCGAAAATGTCCAAGGGTAAAATAGTCATTTAGGGACATACATGGAATTTTAAGAAAAGATTAAGGGCAAAATAGTAATTTAATGATTTCGAAAATAGTTTCGGAAATAGTTTCAGAAATAGTTTCGGAAATGATTTCAGAAATGATTTTAGAAAAATATATATATAAAGAGAGAGAGAGAGAGAGAGAGAGAGAGAGAGAGAGAGAGAGAGAGAGAGAATGAAAGTAGTGTGTAGTGACGTGTGTGGGTCAAACTGAGCCTGAGGGCTGATGCCCAGAATCAGTCCTGAGACGTTATATATTGGCTAGACTGAGCCAGAGGGTTAGTGCCAGAATCAGTCAAATACTATTTTTATTGACCTGAATGAGCCGTGAGGACAGGTGGTACAGAATCCGACAAATGTGAATAAATTTTGTTATGTTTGAATGGTACCCGGGGTGGTACAAAGTACATTAGTGTAATAACTATGTCGGAGGATTCTAAATGAGGTCTCAGACTTCACTGATTGGTCGGGTCAGGTAGACTACGAGATCAGGTGGTGAGAAGTCGATGGAGGGATGACTGGTGGCGCGCTCGGAGGGGTACTCCAGTATGAGTGATGAAGGGCGCCAGTAATCCTACTCTGTGTGGAGGGTGGTCAGAATGGTACTGCAGGTACCGATCACAATGTGCCCACAGATGATAGCGTCTGAGTTCGAGCATAGTTAGGGTATACTTCCGGAAGGTGTCTTAGTGTGTTGATAATTTCGTAATTGATCATAATATATAATTATTACTTCTATATCTATTTTATTATATCGAATGATTTAATACTTATCCCTATTTTTCCATGTGGATGGGACTGCGATGATCACTTTTATGTGGGAGCAGATCAGGAGTTGAGAGATGGTGATGTTACTACTGGACAGCAGTGATAGTTCAGTGGGATAGCTTCGAGGGAGCTACTTTTACATGTATAATATATAAATAAATTATGTTACTATATTTTGAAGTTTCGTT